GGGGACTCGGGCACACCGCTGCTCTCCTTCAAGCACACCCTCCTGGCGCCCCAAGGTCCGTTTGCTGTCGACTACGTCCTCGGTATCGCCTCCTCGCTGTCGTACTGCACCGTCCGGGACGCTGACGGCTACCTCCTGCCAGACTTGTTCGCCGACGTGAGCCAGCACATAGACTGGATCGAGCGCATAGTCTGGCCTGGCAAAGCTGTCTGATTCTTTATAAGCGTATGATGAATAAACTAAAACCAGTAACTATCAATCTCATGAAAGCTTATGATTAGACCCAACGTCCACAATTATTGTCGGTATCCAAACTAACAGTGATATAAATGTAACACAGATCGACAATTAGCAGCAATAACATTATGTCACCGACGGGATAAAAAGAGCCTATTAATCAAATAAGAATGGAACTGTTTATGAATGGACTGAATGGAATAAACGCGTTTCAAGTCGAGGAGCTGCGCCCGTCCACTTCACCAGCAGGAGGTTAGCTCTGTTGTGTGACGCATGGCACGAGTCCCGCAGAGGCAGGTGGGCGGGCAGGGGGCTCCAACGGGCCCCAGCCGCTCCGGCCGGGTCCGAGATGTTTACCTCGGGCCGGGTCAGTCCGCCGGCTCAAGACGATGCGGCTGTTCCTGCTGCCGGTCGTCGCGGTGCTCGCGGCCACGGTCGGCCCACCCTCGTGCGGCCCCGGGGAGCCGTGCGTGCCGCTGCCGCGCTGCCCGAGCGTCCTGCAGAGCATGCGGCTCGACCCGCGGTACCGCCCCGGGCTCTGCGGCTTCCAGGACAGCACCACCAGGGTCCCGGACGTGTGCTGCCCAGGCGGCGGCGCCTCTCAGGAGGACGCCTGCCCGGAGCCTGCGCCGCCGCTGGCGCCCACTCCCGACATGACGTGCGAGAAGTTCGTCAACAGCCCCACAGTTGAGGACTCGCGCCCGGGGAGCCTGGCGCGGAGGAGTAAGTCTGACACCTCATTGGCAGTGGTTTCCTCCTCACCTCCTTGCCTCGCTTCAAATCTAACGGCGCGCTCTGTTTAAAGTGTGCAGGAAGCACCAGGAGGACCTCTGCGCGCTTCCCGAAATCCCGCAATTCTTTTGCGGCGGCGCTGGCGGCCAAACGGCGAACATCCTAGAATTCCCTCACATGGTGAGTTGCAGGGTGGGTGGTTTCCCGTATCCATGTGTGGGTTAGGGTCCGGTAGGCAGGGAGGAGGTCATTGTCATGTATGTGTCCAGGTCCAGGTCTCAAAAGACCTCTAAGCTGTCACGGCTTGTTTTTTAGAGCCGTTCAACCGCGTCTCGAAGCCACTTTCCCGTACTTTTGGCAGGCCCTGCTGGGCTCCGGGGACCGAGAGAACATCCAGTACGCCTGCGGTGGCTCCCTCATCGCCCTCGACTTCATCCTAACGGCCGCACACTGCGCCTTTCTCTTTGGGTGAGTCTGTTTGTCTGGCAAGCGCTGTTCATTCTTGAATTTTTGAAAGAAAAGACTAGATATTTACGCGATCTTCGTTTCACAGGCAGCCGATTCGCTGGGCGCTGCTCGGCGTGACCAACCGCACTAGCCGGGCGCCCAAGGCCACCGACATCCACCAGCTGATTGAGGTCGCAGAGGTCATCGTGCACCCCGAGTACGTCGCGACGGTCAAGTACCACGACATCGCCCTCGTGCGCCTTGCGCAACCCGCCCGGGTGCAGAAGCTGGAGGTGTATCCGGCCTGCCTGGACACGGACATGGATGTGGACAACACGGGGAGGGACGCCGTCGCAACCGGATGGGGCGCCACTAGCTTCGGTAAGGAGCTGAGAGACCGCCCTAGTCGACTAAATGGATTTGCCCAGAGACGTCCCTGTTGTAGAGGCTTTCGTTCTATCCATTGTCTGTAGAGGGCAATGGCAGTCAGTCGCTGCTGAAAGTGAACCTCACCGTGCGCGACATGCGTTACTGCAGGGACAACCTGGTGCTGGACATGCAGAAGGTCCCCCGCGGCCTGGAGGACGCCACCCAGCTGTGCGCGGGCGGCGGAGAGCACAACCGGGACACCTGCCAGGTGAGGGGCCGGGACGGGAAGGCAGCTGGACCATAGCAGCAAAGTGTCATTCCCCGCAGAACTAAATATCATTATTTTGTATTTGTCTTACCCAGGGCGACTCTGGCGGCCCGCTCCAGATGCGAGCGAACCCCAACAACGACATCACGTGCATTTTCCGAATCGTCGGAGTCGTCTCGTTTGGGCAGCTCTGCGGGCTGGGGAAGCCGGGCGTCTACACCCGGTAGGTATGAGCGGGCCAGAAAATGTGGCATAGGCATTAACGTCTCACCACTTTTAGTTTATTATAGCCATCGCTAACTGCAGGTTTCGACTTCGACTGATCATTATTCTTCAGCCGTTTTCTACTTAACGTTTTCCCTGCCGTTTGTTCTGACCCGCAGGGTGGCGGCGTACGTACCTTGGATAGAGAGCGTCGTCTGGCCTCCGAGGCCGGACGGCTACGTGAACAACGTGCGCGTCAAGTCGGGCGATAGAGAGGTGCAGGGCAGGTGCCCAACACGGGCCCGGGGACCGTGGCCAGAGGCAGTGAGTGCTCAAGTTTCTTCTTATATGAGGACCGCCTTCCTAGGCAGTGTGATGTTTCAACTTCTTCTCATGCAGTGTGTAGAGTGTTCCACGTGGAGTTTTGCGACAACTACAATTGGCGCCGTACCGTGAATCCCGATTTGACGCCTGACAACGCTTGCCACCACGACCACCCGCGCGATTCGAGTGACTTCGCGCCCACACCACACAAAGTGGTAAGCGACGTGGCGCTCGGAGAAAATAGTTTCGGTTGTGGAACGAACCGCCGTTCGGGCTGCCGCTTTAACTTACACATCTGATGTTGGCCCCTCCCCTGTCTATACACGTTTGGGTGGGACGTTGTTCGAGTTTCACGTTTCACACGATGAGTCCCACGCACCCAAAATATGCTCGATAACTCCACCGCTTGAAATTACAGTGGGACTTCGTATAAAAAGATTGTTACTAGCGAAAAGTTATATTTTCTCTCCGAGCCAAGACCGACGCATAGTATCACCAGCTAGTCCCATACACACACAATACACACACAAAAAAACAAAACAAAGGTGTTGAGTCACACCATTAAAAGGGTTCAGTGCTCTTACAAAGTCATAAAACTGCAAACAGCACTAAGTTTTGGCACATTTACTGCTTTTTAGTATCTTTACAGAGTCATGTATCTCAAAGATTCCTTTCACACATCTGCAAACGTGCGGCCCAACACATTTGTTTTTACAGTCGGCATGCATATCTGACGGGTTGCGTGTTCTCCTGCTCACAGGCGACGTTTCAGTACGGTGACTCGCCGTACAACCGGCGGCACAGCTGCGCGGGCGCGCTGGTCTCCCCCAACGCCATCTTCACCGCCGCCCGCTGCGCCGCGCTGGGCTGGTACGACCGGTGTTGCACCTGCTTCACATTCACATTTTGGACCGGTGCATCACCATCCTTGTCTGTCTCCACAGTCTACCCCTAAAGCGCGTGCACCTGGGGGCGCCGGTGCGGTGCAACAACATGGGCCTGGCGACCGTGGAGAAGGTGATCGTGCACCCCGAGTACCGACCGGGCCTGGCCTACGCTGACCGTGAGGTTAAACGAGTCCCACGACCTGCGGGAGTACTTTCCACTGTGCCTCAACACGGAGGCAGACGTGGCGGTCCGGGTGGGCCTGCGCGCCACCGGGGCCGGCTGGAACACCGTCGGAACCTGTAAGTCGACCTCGCAGCTCTTAAGGGTCGATCAAAAACCGCGTGGTCTTCACGGGGGTGGGGATCCAAGTATGGGGTCGCAAACGTCTCGGGACAGTCATTTGAATCCATGGAGACCCCATGTGCGTCGAGACACAAAAATTATGATCCCCTTTACCGCCCTGAGCCTTTTGGGGTCACTCGGAGGGACCCCATTACGATTGCCCCCCCCCCCTCCTCAGTTTAGACCTTGTAGTTCCTGAACGGACCCTTGATGTGCATCAAAACCTCGCACGACGCACATCTTTTGTATAACGCGCCCCTGTAGGGGAGGAGATGACCTTGCAGAAGCCCAACAACACCCTAACCGTGCGCTCCGCCGAGCGCTGCTCCGCCGCCCTCCTGAAGCACGACAGGCTCCGCGGGGCGCTGCCGGAGAGCTACTCACCTTCCCTGCTGTGCGCGGGCGGGCTCTGCGACAACGAGACCTTCGCGGTAAGGAAACTCAGTAACTGACCGAACGTTTGGAATCTATTCAATCCAGCAGTTAAGTTAATTTTAAACAGAAGTAACCTAATTTGGTTATTATTGTAAG